AAGATTACAACAGCAGCAAATTTGTTTCCTCTTTTACTAAACATTTGACTATCTGTTACATATGTCATGACACCGAATCTATTCTGCTAAAATAATTTTTTATTTAGCAATATATTACCATATAATTTGATAATTTAACGATATTTAATCCTTGTTAGATCAGGATTTTTTATGAGCATCAACATATTTACCTGATCCACGATAAGCAGGTGTTTCTACCACTTTCCATGCATAACAGTTTTTTTTCATTGACTTATCATCATACTTATTCTAAAACAAAGCAAAAAACATGAAAACACTTTCAAATATATGTTGTTCCTGATTTAAAAAATATTATTACTTGTAAAACAAAAGTTGTTCAGCTCTATTTATATACTAGGAATTTTCACTTCAAGAAGATAAATTCTTTTTTTTGCGAAAGAGACGAGAAGAAGAAAAGCTGAAGAAAAAAAGTTTTCAAATAAATGGTAAAATTGCTTTATCATTTTCGATAGTGTTTCATTAATATTTTGAGCATCTGAAAGGAATCTTGTTAAGTCAATATGAAAAGTCGACTTGGAACTACGTATAGATATCAACAAAGCGTATTAATATCAAAGTCTTATCTATGTCTAAAGTTGTAAAAAGAAAGAAAAGTAAATAATAAAACAGTTTTCAGAAAACAATGAAGTTTTTTGAAGATCGATTATTTATTGAAAAATCTGAAAAAAAAACAGAAATTTAAGTGGTAGAGAGTGTAGAATCCACAAAACTGAACCTTTCTAGATTGTCCTCTGATTTCTTCTTGTTCCATTTGTGCCCACAAATCACTTTGATATAACAAAATTTCACGGTAATCAAACGACTCCAAATGCTTTAATTTTTCTAAATTTCTATACAGACGTGAGAAAACCTCAGAACAGCAGCATTTTTTAGCATAAGTAGATAAAAATAAAAAAAAAAGTAGGTGAGCCAAATGACATCAGCCAACCGAAATATCTAACAGAAATAAGGTCAAAAAAAGCAAAAATATGGGTTTCTTTATAAATAGCACAGAGTTTTCATTTTTAATGAAAATTTTTACCACAGGTAAATAATTGAATAAGCAAAAACAGAATAAAATAATCATTGATTTAAGGTTTTTTAAAAGACAAAATTTACAACAGTACTATAAAGCAACAATCACTTTTCCTCTCCGTTTCTTCTTTCTTCTCTTCGTCTCCTTTCAAAAATTTTTTGCTTATTCTTTACCGCACTCAAATTTTTACTGTCTTTCTTCTCATCGCATTTATGCAGATGTGGATTTTGAATCGTTACAGGTTCTTTCAATGTTATTTTTCATATTTTAAGCCATAGACTTATGTTTTTATTATCACAGAATAGCAGGATAACAATTAATTAAGCTAGAAGTTTTGGTCTAACTAACTAACTTAGTAAGACAACAAAATTGGCTAAGCTTACGGTAAATTCTTTGTCGGTCAGCAAATGTAGCCCAAGCTGTTGACATCTGATTATACGCGCATGTATTGTCGCTTAACTGCATGGTTACAGCTCTGTTTGATACATTTTGATACTAAAAATTAATTAAGAAAAGGAAACAGTTTTGTTTTTTATAACAAAATAAATTTTTTTTTGCAGACATCCTCAAGAAAGTTGCTTTTACCTGTCAAAAAAAAAATATAATTTAGTTTTATAAACTTTTAATTCAAAAATTTTTTTTTTT